TTCAGTTTTAACTAGTAAGAAATTTTCATAGTTGAAATCATGAGTCAATTGAAGCTAAACCACCATGGAAAACCTGAAACCACTGGACGGCCGTTTTGTCCTATTGTGGGACTCCTCAGCAGTGCGCATCCAAGATCCTGCCTCACGAGATTCGAACCTAGGACTGACCAGTCCCACAATAGGACGTAACAGCCGTCAAGCAGTGCTTCCAGGTTTACCATGGTGATCTAGCTTCAACTAACTCATGATTTCAAGTATGAAAATACTGAAATCTCCACAAAACTCCTTATGATTAGTGAGAAATTATTACTAGGCTTTAATTTACCGAATATTATTAGTCAGGTTTTTAATATCTTGATGGAAATAGTACTATGCAAATACTAATATTTTCAGCTCTAAGTTAAAAAATTATAAAATTCATACTTCTTTAAGGAATTTGAGTTCGATGGAATCTATCTAAATTAATTATTTGCAATAATCGAACTATATTTCTACATCATAAGCAGGAATTTTTCTTATCAAACCAATTGATATACCCAATTAATTTAATCATTGAGTATAAGTGTGAAATAGAGTAATATTTATATTGGTCAATTAATTCGTAGATTAAATTGGTAAATAAATCCGAAATATTTAGCAAGTTCGTTTCATATTCCTCTCATTGAAAATAATTGGCATATATAAATAAAGTTAAATTTTCTCAAATAATCATTTCACTAAACTGAACCTAAGTGACTTGAAAGTTATTTTCTTTTTAAAGAAAAGACTTAATTATACACTAAATCAAATTTAAATATTTAACGGTTGAATTCCTTTTGACAATTCCAATTATATTCATCGTTGTGGTTCATTGATTAGCATGGTTCCTATATAGTTTCCTTTCTTTTTTTTCTTTTAAAATTAAGATTTTTGGGTTGAATTATTGGGTAGAGTAGGGGGGGGAATGTCATTGTCTTCAAAAGAATAGTCATATAGGTGTACAATGAATCATTACAGTGTTATCTTCTTTGTATGATAGTGGTTTCGGTATATTTACTCAAATGGAAATGCCTAAAAACAACATAAATTAGTTGAAACCTGTCACTTGAATAAGAAAACGCTAAATTGATAAAACATACATTTATATTAGACTGAGATAATTCTATTTATCGGTTAGCACTGTTCAGTGATTGTTATCATTATAACTATCAGTATGAAGTTTAATTGAGATTGTTAGTTTACAAAAGTAATGTAAACAAGTGTATTAAATGAACTAAGTTAGCAAGACTATCCAGTACGCACTGTAGTAGCTACGAATGGATCGGCACTGAAGGGAGAGTGAATACAGTGAACACACTTGAGGACATTTTATCATGATTTTGAATAGGCGTGTAACAATAGGAAAAACAAGTATCACTAAGTATATCAAAAACTGACATCGTTTAGAAAATCATTGGAAACCGGATAGATTGAACAATTATTTCGTCTTAGCGGTGTACACCTACAACCTTAAAAGTTAAGTTATTTGAATAGCTTGAGATACCATCCAAAACCTGATGAAAATTATAATTTCTACTTATCATGGAAAATCTACATCGTTCGATACTGCAATGTATAATATTTATTTTGTATAACTGTAATTTGTGAACGAGATTTTCAAGAACCTAGTATTACTGTTTGTTTCTATGTCTTGGCATACTATGCTTGCAACTATCAGGAAAACAAATAACACAGATAACACAAAGATGTAATCGTGACCATAAACAATGATCTACAAAGCTTGTTAATGAAGCTGTGGATGAGGTACGGACACTAGCTACCAGTCAGTGGGTAATGTCATGCTATTTATTTTTAAATGGTGGCAGAGATCTATAACTAATTTTGTATTGTTTATTTGAATCTTCCAAATGATGTTCAGGACTTCAATTAATCAATTTCTTATTGACATATGTACATCCTGTGAGAACTGCCTCGATATTGCCTTAAGTCATAAGCATTCTAAGCAAAGGTAGATGGTGGCTAGCAGTGGAACCCAGTTATAATTGGGAATCGTCAGCTGGATGTATCTGCATCTCATATTTGATGTTCACTCAGAAACTCAAGCCCAGCACCGTTCGCTTCAAACGCCATCACCTTATCCACTTAGCTACTGAGTCCTGATGGCCACTAGCTTGTGCGATGGGATGTTTCAAACAAACAATACAAAATGAATCCGAATTTCACCCCATTGCACAAGCTAGCGGCCATCAGGACTCAGTAGCTAAGTGGATAAGGTGATGGCGTTTGAAGCGAACGGTGCTGGGCTTGAGTCTCTGAGTGAACATCAAATATGAGATGCAGATACATCCAGCTGACGATTCCCGAATATAACTGGGTTCCACTGCTAGCCACCACCCGTCTTTGCCTAGGGATCAATAACATCCAGTTTTTAGTTACAGATGGCGAAGATTTAGCAAGAGTCTCCTGTATATTTTACGCTAGAACCAACAAACATTATCATTTGAACCATAACAATGAATAATAATTACCTAGTCAGATTATTACGATGTTTTCTGATCAGGCAAAATGTTATTTAAGTGCTTGTCATATTTCATGTAATTTGTGATATAATTTATAAAATTTTCCATGTAGCCATTCTAATGAATGGCAGATTCGACTGATGTGAATCTATTTCAGACAGATGTTAAAAAAGTAAAAAAAATTAAAAGAAACTCACTGATTAGAGAGGGTATTTATAGAGAACGAAACACCTCGATTTATGTGGACAAAATATTTAAGTGAGGGATATGAAGATTATGGGAATGATGAAAGCCTAAGGCTAACTTCGATCTCTTTTGATTATGAAAACAGAATATGTTTCATTTCTTGTGTTTTCCTCACTGTTCGGTTGATTACTAAGTGTATTTTGGAAAATCGTTTGCTTACACGGTTCTGTCGAAATATTTAGGTGGAAAAAATCTTGAAACTGCGAATCAACTAACCACCCTGATGTCTGAGAACTCCTAGGAATATTAAAAAAAGAAACATATAGGGTAAGTGTATCAACATATGGTGAAAATAATTTGACTGGACGTAAAAATATCCTTACTCTAGGTTTTGTAAAGTTAATGTGATGTGGGTTACTTATATCCACATAAGTAGTATATGGTGATGGTCGGGTATTGAATGTATTCCAGTGGAATATTGATGAAGAAAGAACCGGAACGGAACGCAATTGGTATGAAGATGCATGGACAGTAATAATCAGAGACCATGGACTGATATTTGCCGAAGGAATGGTCAAGATCGAGACAATTGATTGATAGTTTGAAGTTAACTGTTTGCTGTATAATTGTCAGATTTTTGTGAGATAGTCTGTAATGTTGTGCTTAAGTACATTCGATTCTCCCCATCCATGTTTTTGTTCTCTATATTATGTGGCTTCAGAATGGCGATTTATTAAACAGACTATATATATTCTATGAATATTGTTATACATACGATTTTTCGGAAAAAACACACAATGTGTTTCAAATATTACCAGAACCCAATCAAAAAGTTTGATATATACTTGATAGCGAGTGAATAGATAACCGAGATTTGTTCAAGTCATGAATTGTTTCAAATTTTTAATTCTTAATAAATCTTATTCATTGACTGTTTGTGTCAAAAGTAACCTTTTTATTCTATACTTTGGCAAAATGGTAACAATATTTCAAACTGATCCAAAGATGAAGTTGTATGTGAACATACTTTGTGTCCCTTAATGGTTTGAAATATGGCAATGAATCTCTCAGAAATACATAATAACGGTTATCTGTTCAGTCTCATGAGTTGTACAACCGTATATGTGGTTTCTGAGAGGTATACCCACAATAATACAACTTTTAACGTATCGATAACAGTAAGCATTATAAGTTAGAATGTTATGTACAAGGTAAGTGAAAAACAACCAGGCTTATCATAGATATAAAACATTCATTTTTCGCCTATAATACCATAATTCTCATGGAAGCGGTAAACTTACTGAAATTATTATTAGTTTTTATTATTCTAAACTTGCATTCAACACACTACTTAAAAGTGTTAATGTTGAACTACTGTAAAGTAAATCAGTACTCTATACCTCAAGATTATTCGAAGCACTTGAGAGCAGTTTCTCTGATTGACTGTAAACAACTGAAATAAGCATATCAGTAAATAATATTTACGACTAGTTTATTTTTGATTATTTCATTAAAACAAATATGGGAAAGATATGAGAGAGATAACACGAAATTAGATAAAGTATTTTACAATCTACAGAACAGATAAATTTATGGCTTGCAATGGAATGCAGGAGTAGCGTTTCGTCCAGTTTGGGACTCATCATCTGGGTTTACTTGAGTTTCTGTTGATTTTCACATAGTGATATGAACCCAGTATCGTCCTCTTCAAGCGCCCAACTCACTGACTACTTGGCTACTGAGTTCAAATAATTGCTCACTCATGCACTAAGTATGATATAATATAATATGTAATATAATAATGATACAAATAGTTTACAATCGACCTAGATACAAAAGTAGTAAGTTTATCTGTTGAGTAAACCAAACTTCATTTAAACAATAATCACAACAAAAAAGAAATGATAGCCAAAAGTTTATATTTTTTTATTTACTGAAGTTAAAAACCTACATTGTGTTCATCTTATCACAAGCAACACCAATAACAAACCTACTTTCTTCAATCCTCTAAACAGACACATATTTACATATACATACAAGCAGACATTTCTATACAAGAAAAGAATACATAACGAATTCATTCATCGAATTTATCCAATCATTTTAGAGTGGGAAAAAAAACATAAACAATGTCAATAAGCTTAATCACAGCTACAACTCATTGTGAACCAACACTGAAACTCTCGGAATTCCAAAATCGTATGACGAGTTTCAACCCTTCTGGGAGAATAAGTATTCACAATAGGATTAACAGTCAAATCAAAGAAGAAATCCTTTCTGTATAACTATTATTTACTAACTTATCAGTTGATATAAATGAAATATAATCTATACTTTACTCAATTAATTTTTATTTTACCAACTATAATTATTATTTTCAATAAAATTTATATCATATTTGGCAATGAATCAGAATCAATGACATCTGGTTTATTTAACACTAATCATCAAGTCAATAATAATAGAAGTTTATCATCGTCACAGTATCCCAGATCTGAATTTGAAAAGATGTCTTCTAATGATAATTTTATAAATTTTCGTCAATCTCAACAATCATTGAAAGTGAATACTATAAATAATAAATTAACTAATTGTCAGCTACAATTAGAATGTTCCACCGAAATGGAAAATATTGATAATAAACAAATGTCAATAATGAATTTTTCAACTACTCATATTACTGGTCGTATACGTATACCTGTTCGTAGTGGAAGAGGACCAGCTGGACCACCTGGTCCACAGGGACCTCCAGGACCACAGGGTGCAAGAGGATTCCGAGGACCACCTGGTGAACCAGGTAGTTTGCAAGGTAAATATCGTGTTATATGGGAAGTAATAAATGATTTATTTATGAACCAGAATATAGAACAATGTTTGTTTCTTAGTATGCACAGAGGTTGTATATCATTTTTATACTAAATAATGTGGTAGTTTTGGAGAGATCATTTAACTCTTCTAATTTTATGAACACAAAGTGTAGATCATGATGCTATAAAAATAGCCGAAAAAGCTTACTGATAATTTTGAACTGATTATTAGCGATCGATCGACGACTGTTCACATAAACCAGGGTAACGGTACAAAATCAAAATTGACACATGACGGCATAATGACTGCCATTTAATATAATGTTTGAATCATTAGAAATTATTAAGAGTAAAGTAGTATAACATACGAAAAATGTCGAAATTACCGTGTATCAGAACAAGATAGTTCAAATTAAAGACTATATTTATTTTGCTCACCAATGTTTAGTTCAAATATCTTTCAGTCTTAAAAATCGTTGTTATGTGTCAGTGAAATGGACTTTTTGGATTGCAAGAATTTTTTGAACTAATTAATTTGGTAGATCAAATTTCTTTATAATGTGGTTTGTGCGACTGATGTCAACAGATATAAGTAGTATGTACCATCAATCGAAAGTGAAACGCCCAGAGGCAGAAGGTTAAGAAGATTGAAGAAAAGAGGAAAAGAACAGACAATGATTGGTGTGGAAACGAAAGAACAATGAGGTCTGAGACGATTGATTGAAATCTTTTAAATGAAGTATTTACTATATGGTTCTCAGATTTTATTAAGACATTTTGTAATTCCGTGTTTTAATACATATGGTTGTCCCTACTTTTATTAAACTTTGGCTGATTTTTTTCGGTATAGTTTAAATATCACCAACCTTATCGACAATATATTTGTTTGACTAAATTTTTTGACTGTTAAAACATGATAATCCGTTTTTTCTCTATAAGGTCACTTTCATTTGAAATGTCAACCCGAAAAAGTGTACATTGCAAAATTAGACTACTGATTCCAGTTTTATTATTCAATATTAGAGAACAAACATTGTGTGTACACTTTTGAGTAAACTCACATCATGAGATTGAATAATTCTACTTCATATTGTGTTAAAGCGAGTGCAACCTAGAAATTTGAGCTGTTTGTGGGTTTTGTTAGTCTGACTTAACATTTAAGACTATCCACTTGAATTTAGGCAATTGGTGTTATCTGTGATCTAAATGATTAAGAGGCATCTCATTACACCTTACTTTATAACTGTAAAGAGTTAGTTTTGTTAAATGAAGATACGAATAACTTGTAAGTGACCAGTCATAGCTATTTTTAAAATGTTTCTTAAATGTTATAGGACGACGTAGTGCGTAATGATGAATGTTGTTATAGATTTGCATGTAGCTAGATAAACTCGGTTGATGAAGATGAGTGTTTGTTGACTGAAGTGATCAGAGAACAGGTTATTCACATCGAACCACTACCTAGTCGAATATGTAATCCTTTTAGGCAAAAAGTAGGAAAGATAAAATAAATGGACGTATGAGTTTTCTGCTTGAGGGTCGTTTGCTTATAGCCATTTTATATAGTTATTAAACGAGGATGGGCATATTCTTCAAGTGTTTTTTATCAATAAAGAACTTTATGTAGACGTTTTCCACTGACGTCAAACTAAGTTTAGTATAAAGTTAATAATCTACTGGTAAATTGAATTGTTTCTCATTCCAAACGGAAGTATGGAGTAAACTAGATTTATAGTTTATGATAGCCAAGGCTTGATAAAATATCAGAAAAAATAAATCACTTCAGTACCCTATGATATTAATATGTCATAAAAAGGTTTTCTAACCATTATCTAGCGTTCCTTTGCTTTTGTTAAAAACAATACAAAATATATTAGTAAGGCAGTATCAGAAGTCACTTAAAATAGTTGTGAGAGGAAAATAAATATTAACATGTTTTGGTGATCTCACATTCTAAGATACGATTGGTTTATTTATAAAGCATTCATGATCGTTTTTTATCATCGTCTCAGAAGCTGATTCCTGTTCAAAGTAATCAAACATGATATTCATAACGATATTAAAAGATTCTACAACAAACTATTCAGCCCAGTAAACGTAATGTCATCGGAAACATCCACCTGAGACAATATCTTTTTTTATAGTTGAAATCATGAGTCAATTGAAGCTAGACCACCATGAAAAACCTGGAAGCACTGGAAGGCTGTTTCGTCCTATTTTGGGACTCCTCAGCAGCTTCAATTAACTCATCATTTTAACCATAAAATTACTAAAATCTCCACACAAAACCCCTTCTGATAATAATCATATGCTCACTAGTAACTGACTTCAAGAGATATTTCCTGGAGTTCTAATGAGAAGCAATGACCAGTGGAGTTCAACCAGGTCTGTTGTAGAGATATCAACTCACTGAAGACAATGGTGGACGGTTGCTCAATTTCTTGGATTAGTTGAAGTTAGACATTTACACCGTTGGATGCCGGCCATCTGTGGTGTACAGGTTAAGCGCTCACGTGCGAGACTGGTTGGTCCTTGGTTGGAATCTCGCGAGGTGGAATAGTCGATGCGCACTGCTGAGGAGTCCCAGAATAGTACGTAACGGCCATTCAGTGCTTCCAGGTTTTCCATGGTGGTCTAACTTCAATTGACTCATGAATTCAACTATAAAGTTACTAAAGTCACCACACAATACCCCTTCTGAAAAAGTCTTTTTCTTCATTTCAAAGTTAATCAGCACCATCTGTTGATAAATGGACTATGTAGAACAGCTCTCATGATGCACTAATTTTGTAATGAAATAGGAAGATTCATTTGAGTTTTATAATCGGTGTTTTAATCAGCTAAATGTACACTTCATAAATGTAGTGTCACACTCTGTTCTTTCATATTTTGCGTATACATAAAGAATCATTCATTTAAATGATAGTAAATTCGTGTAAGTGTTAACTAACTACATGATTTTTTTTAACATAGAACTATTTTTATCGGATATAAATGGAAATTAGATTAATAATTATCTCATTATTATTTTTGTTGTAATCAACTTACCAAGAGCATAACCTGTATATGCCGAACTTTAATTGAGATTTCGGTTGTATAGCCTTTAAAATTTGGCATTTTTTCTGGAAAAAAACACTATGTACATTTGACAGGTAGATGAAGGTAGAAATATCTTCGAATTTCATAGATAGGACTTACATGACAATTTAAAATGGTGTTTATAGATTACTGAACCGTTTAATAGATTATGATCATAATAAATAACTCTAAAAGTGTTTCAGTAGTGCATTATCGAAATCAATTTTTAAAAAAAAGATATAATATGCACGGTTTAAGAAACCACACATATTCTATTATTATAACATATTACTGTGGTATTTGTTAAAAGATTACTAATATACAGATATACTTATTTACTTATTTACGCCTGTTACCCCTCGTGGAGGAGCATAGGCCACTCACCAGCATTCTCTATCCAACTCTGTCCTGGGCAATCCTTTCCAGTTGTTTCCAGTTACTATTCATCCTTTTCATATCAGCTTCTATTTCCCGGCGTAATGTGTTCTTTGGCCTTCCTCTTTTCCGCTTCCCTTCCGGATTCTAAGTTAGGACTTGCCTTGTAATGCAAATTGGTGAATACAGATACACACTACATTAATATCATATTGTCCAGTTTCCGATGATGATAAGTTATTTTTATAGCAGGTCAGTAATGTAACTATGTAGCTAAGCTAATCAACATCATAATTTGATTTATTCGGGATTGAATAGTTTGGATTATAAGGTATTATACTTTAAAAGTGAGGTTTATATGAAATGACATTTGTCATATTTCTTTAAACAGATAAATTTGTATGGAAACCGCTATTTTTGACCATAGTGTTGATTTATAAGGGTTATATTCTCCAAAATGACATGACTTTATTCTGGCATACGAATGAGATGATTGTCATCAAAATTTAATCTAAGTATACATTTTCTTAAACGATTTCTCAAAAAGCTTATCACTGAATGCTAAAGATAACTAAATTTTATGAATCATTGAACTTTTTAAGCCGCTACCGAATTACGATATATATATATATATATATATATATATAAAGATGGATGGTGGCTAGCAGTGGAATCCACGACACGCGTTTCGTCCTATTCGGGGCTCGTCAGCTGGATATACCTGATCAATTGCAATCCTAAACAACAATGGGAAGATTCAAGCAATTAATACCAAGTGAATATGTATATGTTTCGAAAACAACTGGTAACACAATGTAGTACTATTTAAAAAAACAACCAAATGTTTTATTAATATAGAATATCACCTTTTTTTGCAGAAATTATAAAAATACTATGTAATATTTCATGTATTCAGTATTTCAATTTTACTTTCAATCTACAATAGTCAATCGTAAACAATAATCTCTATCAATTTGAGTTACCTCATATTATAACAGTGATAAGATAAGAAATTCATTTGATGTTACTGTAGTGAACAAGAACACGAGTGAGGACAATCAAATGCTATTTAGCACAACATTACAGAATATCTCATTAAAATATGAGAACAATATAGTGAACAGTTAACTTGCAAAATAACAATCAATTGTCTCAATTTGACTGTTCCTTCTGCAAATATCCGTTCATAATCTCCGATTATAATTGTTCATGCAATTTTGTACCAATTGCGTGCCGTTCCCGTTCTCTCCTTATTGACCTTCTACTGAAATACATTTAATGCCCGACCATCACCATATACTACTTATGTGGACATCAGTAACCGACACCGCACTACCATTTATGCAATTTCTTCATCTTTAAAATTATTTATTATTTAACAAAATAGTTATTTTTATATTGATATAAGTATTCATCCAACTTAAATAAGAAATTGACTACTGAAAATAATAGCATTTCAGTAGTTATCATCTAAATTGAAATTATTTGTATTGACAATGAAGTAAAGGCATATAGTAGAATAGTCAAAAAACGTTATGATTTCAAATCT